TGTTCATATCTCATTTTTTAACTGGGAGTACCTTCTAAGGAGGCATCTTTGGCCCTGGAGAACTCGAAAGAGCCAGTGGATCCCAGAAGAGAGGATGCAGAAAGTGTTGGCTTTGGTTCTAACAGAGGCCTTGGGGGCAACTGCAAACAGAACCTTCTTTTAAGATGGTCCAATTTGGTTCTCCAGAGAAAAATTACGCAGGCATTCTGGGCAGGACTGTCTTGGAAGGACTGTCTTGTGCCTTCAAGTGTACTCTATCTCTTGAGAACCAGAGTGTGGCATACTGGGCACAGAAGGACAAAGTCCAACAGAGCCAAGCATTTCCTCTGGGGCCTAGATGGGCAGGAGTTCTGATTTTTTTTCAATAATCCCAAAGATCCTATTACACAGAATAAGATCAAGCCCAAGCGGAATTTTCTATAATTTCATTTTTAATTGTCCCATTCATGTGTCCTTTCCTGGTAAAAAAGAATTCATTTAAAAGTTATCAAAGGCATAAGACTAAAATCAGTACTGCAGAGAAGATGGGATGCTGCTGAAGCTCTCCTGCTGGGGTCAATATCACTCAATGTCACATTTATTTTTACCAATTTTCCTATTAAAAGGTTCCATGTTTTGGGCCTTAGCTTTAGCCTACTGTTTACTGCTTGTTTACAATAAAAACGTGTTATTTGCTTTCTTGAACATTTTATGATGCCAAAGAAAATAGCAGATAGTGTGTTCTCCTTTCAGCAAACCCAGTATGTGAATGCTTGGATTTACATATAAAGTAGGGGCTGATAGTGACAAAATGCTTCAACATAATTCTTTACGTAACAAGCTTTTCTTGTGCATTTTGAAACAACTTATGGCCAGTTTTTCAGAACACATCAGTCACATTAATCAGTTCACACATGCCTCACTGTGACACACATGGGAGTTTGCTGTCTGAATGCAGGTATATTTCCTTAAAGAATCTTCTGGTCAAGGGTATTACAACCAATAGGAACAAGAACAAAATAGATGTTCCCGAAGCATTCCTTTCTATTCAACTTCCACCAAAGTGATAGTGAAGCTAGTTGGATAATTCTTTTCCTAAGGTAGGAATACAGTTTTGTTGGACACGAAGTGAGGCAACAGGAAACATTTTTTAATGAACGAACAACTTTCACACAGACTGTATCACATTGTTATTACAACATAGATGAGCTGAAATGTTTTTGTACAGATTTGGAGAAAGGGAATCCTAAAAAAAAACCAAGCATATAGAGGTAGTTGAATAGCAATATGGTGGGGGGGGGAAGCATTGTCTTTTATTTCCCTTCACTTGTTACAGTGCAAGAGTAAAATGGCTGCTTAACAAACAAATGGGAAACAAACACACACACGGTTGCCACTGTTTACGTGGCTCGCTTGATATTTTAATCCTGGTATTACTTACAAATGCATAAGATGATGTAACTAGTTTATCTAAAATAAGCCTATGATGCGACATTGACATATTTGCTTTCCTTTTATTTCATTATTAGTGTTGCTTTAACAATAGATAAATGTTAATCAACTTTTAAAATTATACATTAGCTACAGTGCTGCTTTGTAAACTTCTGTTAAATCACGTTGGCTGCAAAAACATTTTAAACAACAGCTACGGAGTCATGAAGCAAAAGCTTTAAAGTGACACCAGGAACAGAGATTACAGGCACTTCTCTCTGGAGGTTAACTCAGCATGTTTGGAAATAAACATCTGTAAGTGAAAATGTCTTCATTTCACCTCTGGATGTGCGTAACTCAGATTATTAAACAGTTGTACAGTGTAATAAGGTGCAAGCTATCATTCTAAGATGAATTGAATGCGTACATTTTACGTGGCTCCTTTTCCATCCTTCTCTTTGTACTCAGAAGGGGCACAAATTGAAGCCCATGCTGCTGCTTTTTAGAACAGTCTTCTATCATAAATCAAAACCTCATTCCTCAGCCCCAAGAATGGGTTGAAAATCTCCCCTTATCCATTGTTTGGGCTGCCCTCCATTTGCATCTTTGTCACACACCACTGCTATGATTCTGCCTTGAGGAGCAGAAATGGATGTGAAGTCAACATGTTGGGAACTCAAGGAATGAGTCCCTGAATAAAACTCCCATCTTGGAAATGGAGTTGGTGTGGGGATCACAGTCCTCCCCAATGCATTGCAAGTCTGTCAACAGTATGCAATCCATTGACAGTAAGAGACCTCTGGGTGCTGTTAACCAGCCTCAGGAGCTCCGCCGCTCCAATGGCCAGTCACAGGGGATTATCTGAGCCCGGGCCAGCTCCACGGGTAGAGCTGGAAGTGCCACATGTGCAATGACTTGGCTTGCCCCTCGCTGCTGAGGCAACACTGGGCTAGAAGCAGTTGGCCTTCAGAAAAGGCAAACTTCAAAAATAGTCATTCTCTGCCCCACTAAGTCAGGGACAGGCACTCTTTTTTCCAAGTTGTCCACAGAAAATTGGTTTGTTTTTCATTTTCTACATTTTGCTGGTTATTTGCTAGCAGCAGTAGTACAGTACAAAGCAGAAAGGCATGATGTCTGCTTGCTACGTAGTATATATATATGTGTGTGTGTGTGTATACACACACACACACACACGCACACACACACACACGTACAGACATACAAAAATTAATCAAAAATAACCTAGTAGGCAAAGACTGGGTCAGTCACGATAGACAGAAGAACCAAGTAAGTGGCACTATCTATGGTGGGGGAAGTCATTTTTCTGGCCTAAATTTAGCTTTATGTCTTTCTTCTATATACCATTCATTCCTACGCTATGCAGCAAAACCAATTTCCCAGCGTATAAATGGTCAAGACCAATTGATTACCTTGTTAAGGTACATCCCAAAGAAAGCCAAAGCTTAGCCTTGCATCCTGCCTTGCAACTAGACAAAAGTATTTAACAGTGAAGACTCAGTTTTCTCATCCATAATATGGGGATAATAACTGCTCTCACAGGGTTGACAGGATAATGATTTAATGAGCTCAGGTATGTGAGATCACCTGGCTCAGTACCTCATATATGGGAATCTCAGTATATTTTTGTTGAATCTGTTACTTTGGGCAACATAAAAAAATACCATCAACTAAGCACAGAAGTCACAAATCATCTGGCATGGGTAAGGTTCTCAATACATTTTGGAGAACAGGAGTGATAAGCTGGTTATTCTAATGGAGCTAGAACTTAAGGCTTCCATTCTATCAGAAATCCTAGGCTGGGCGTGGTGGCTCATTCCCATGCCTATAATCCCAGCACTTCGGGAAGCCCAGGTGGGTGGATCATCTGAGGTCAGGAATTCGAGACCAGCCTGGGCAACATGGTGAAACCCCATCTCTACTAAAACTACAAAAATTAGCCAGGTATGGTGGTGCATGCCTGTAATCCCAGCTACTATGGAGGCTGAGGCAGGAGAATCACTTGAACCTGGGAGGCGAAGGTTGCAGTGAGCTGAGATTGAGCCACTGCATTCCAGCCTGGGTGACAGCATGAGAGAAAGAAAAGAAAAGAAAGAACAAAAGGAAGGAAGGAAGGAAGGAAAGAAGGAAGGAAGGAGGGAAGGAAATCCTAGACCTACAAGCTTTTTAGCCCTTATTGAAGTGGGAAAAATTTTTCTGGTATAGGATTGATCCCTAACTCTGACCTTCATTTGTTCTCCAGTTATTTCATGTTCACAAACAGATTTAACTCCCAAAATAATTATCTGTAAATCTTCAAATTATGGGTCAAAAAGTCAGTGGCATGGATCCCCCCAACTAAGTTTAAAGGGGTTTCAAGTGGATACTGTGTGTAAAGGCAGTGTTTTATACAAATGTAGGCTCTTGATGATATTCTATAACTACGACTAATCTAACAGTAGCTCTTATTTCTTGAATGCATTCTAGGTGTGAGACACTGTGCTAACTGATTTATACATTATCTAATTTAGTTTTTGTCACAATCCTATATGCAGAACTATCACTAGTATTTCATAGATTAGAAATCTGGGGCTTGACAAAAGTTAAATCAATTGCCAGAAGTAACATATCTAACAAGTAAAGAAGCATTCAGCCCTTTTCTTTGTTGCATTTACACTAGATACCAAGAAACTACTCTATTAGGATTGTGTTATGACCACCTGGTCTGGCAACCAGATGGAAGTGGGAGTCTTTTCTGTTCCTTGAGCCTTGTAGAGTTTTCTTGGGCAGAAATCATGCCTATACTTCCATCTATTTCAATTGTTCACCTGCCCAGACTAGTTCCAAACATCAAATCTGATAAACACAATGCTCTGGCAATATAATGTCCAGTAAGTGAGTGCAGAAAAGATCATCTGGTTTCTGCTTACATGAATCTTTTTTATGTTGTCTGGATCATGGCATTCTCCCTTTCCTGTTTCTAGCTACAGTTGGTGATGAGAGAAGTAAGCATTACCCTCTCACCTTAACAGAGCAATGGGTTGTGAGTGAATGATGCAAAAATCATTCACTGTCCGAAATCACATGGTATAATTTTGCATGACGGTACAAATAGTACAATTCATTTCCTCCCTGCTCTAATTGTTTCACTCTGCCAATATAATACTCCTGTACTCATGGCACCTTGCAGGCTGTCCTGCCACTGAAGGACTCAAACTAGCACTAAGCAAGCTAAATAAGGGCTTACTCTTACTCCCCACCCTGTATTCTCCTGCTACACTGAAATATTTCATCCATGCAACTAGCAGCAAGGCAGTACTTAGATAAAATAATTGTTGCCCAGGCTGGAGTGCAATGGTGCAATCTCGGCTCACTGCAACCTCCATCTCCCGGTTCAAGTGATTCTCCTGCCTCAGCCTCCTGAGTCGCTGGGATTACAGGCACACGCCACCACACCTAACTAATTTTGTATTTTTAGTAGAGATGGGGTTTCACCATGTTGGTCAGGCTGGTCTCGAACTCCTGACCTCAAGTGACCAACCCGCGTCAGCCTCCCAAAGTGCTGGGATTACAGATGTGAGCCACCATGCCCAGCCATCTGGTTTCTTTAAAAAGATTATTAAAGGGTTCTATTCTATCTGGCTTATTTATATTTTTAATAAGAAAAAATCCTTCATCAAGTGTTTCTGCCCAGGTCTTGATCCTCAGAATGCTGAGGAGAGGTGTGGTATGAAGGCTAGTTGGGCATGGCTATGATGTGCCAAACTGAACACCATTTCCTTTGAAGAGTTAATTATAATCCTGCCTAAAATCCCATTCCTAAATGCACCGGGGAGAAATTAGATACACTTACAATTAGACTGCTGGAACAAATGGCTATAATAAAAATAATTCTTTCAGCTTTGCTCTGTATTACACACAGAAAATGAAATATTTTACTTTACCTTGGCATATACCATAATCTAGGCCAAATCCCTTAAGTATTTTATACTGTTTAGTTCAAACTGAAAAAAAGTAGACTCTGAAGACAGATGATCTTAGCATCATTCTGAAGTTCTTTTTAGCATCCACTTGGATAGATATGGAAATGGTCTAAGAACTAGTGTCAATGCAGTAAAAAAAAAAGATTAAAGCAAAAACTGCACACTTCTAGTATTGTTATTTCCCTCTAGGTACACGGTAAACCACATCAATAAATAAAGCAATGGACTTTTAAATAGTTACAAACACACATTGTAGAAAAAAAGAATACAGTAGTGCAAAAAATAAATTATTAAAACAGAAAGAAGCATGAACATTATTTTACACAATGCTCTACAAACCTGAACCACTTGGAATGAGACCTCAAGTCAGTGAAATTATACAGCAACATTATTAGTATCTTTGTTTTCACATTTCAACCATGCAGTCATTGATCTATGAAAGAAGGAATACTAAAGCAAAACCCCTTTAAATTTTTGGAAATTTTAATGTTAAAATCCGATTATGTTTTTCTGGGCTCTTAAACACCTCTGCTGTTTATGCAGTTATGCAGCATGTCAAGAAGCATCTTAAGACAGAAAGTTTCAAAAAGGTCACATTCTTTTGGTCTTTCTACTCAATTTTTCTCTGTGATCAACAGCAGGCTAATGCCTCTGTTTGACACCCTCTTCTGATTTTATTGCAATTAGATATATTTACAGGAAGACTCCCCCCAGCGGCAGTGGGGAAGGTGGGAGCTCCTCTTCGGTAATCCACTCACTAGTTTTGGTTTCGGGACATGAAGGCCAGGACTCGTCGAATACCATTCAGTCTGTCCTTTAAGGATGTCATTGCTAGGAAGGGGAGCTGAGCTCGGCTTTCCAAAGGAAGAACTGCTAACGTCCACCAGCACCAGGCTGGGCCATTCGGGTTCATCTGCAACAGAGAAACACAATGGCATCATCCTATCCCCATCCAAGAACATCAGTCTGCAGGTTTCTAAATGCTCAAGGTAAAGACCCCAGGTAGAACAACTTCTGTGTGGCAGATTGCTAACTGCCCCTATATCTATTTTCTCCCTTATTTTAGCAGGGCATAGAGCCACCCAGAAAAAAAAGACGAAATTTCTCAGTTTCCCTTACAGCTAGGTGAGGCCATGAGACAAAGTTCTGGCTAAGAAGATGTAAAGGGAAGTGATATGTGTAACCTCTTGGTCACGCCCTGAGAAAGCAGCATATGCCCTCTGACTTCTTCTTTCTCTCCCTTTCCCCTAGCTAGAACATGGACATGGTGAGGATCAGCCTTCCTCAATCAAGAAGATGAGGGTGACATTCTAAGGATGTTAGAGCTTTGTGATGAAGGAGCCTGGGTCCCTGAAGGCTATCATGGAATAGAGCTGCCCTAGCTGCCCAGGACTTAGCCCCTCCATCTTGTTTAAGCTCCAGTCATTTTTGGTTCTTGTTAAAGCAAACCAACCAATATCCTAACAGGTACCCTATGCCTCCTAGCCAATGTGATTTTACAAGCTGATATCCACTATGTAGTCTCTTCCACTTCTAAGATTCTGCCGAGTTCCTTTGGACTGATGCATTTAACATGCGGGCCTTCAATTCCCATGACCACTTGGCCTTTGCATGTCTTTTAAGTCCCCTCATTTCCTTGCTGTGGCTGAAGCAATAGTCCAGATATATCATGTCACTATATAGGGCCACTGCTATCTTCTCCCCTAAAACCAAAGGCTACAATTTACATTTCCAAAGAATTACAACCCACTTTGCAAAAATTCCAATTCGAAAACATTCACATTAGAAATACATTCTGCCCCTAGATTTTCTTTTAATAAAGAGCTTTTCCATTACACATAAATCCAGTACATTCTGCCCCTAGATTTTCTTTCAATGAAGAGCTTTCCCATTACACAAAAATCCTTCCCCAAAATTCTGTTCGTAAGCAGCTTCCCTGGCACATATTTTAGACATTGGGAACGTATTTTCTACTAAGCCTAAAACAAGCTTTCTGCCCATAACTTTCAGAAGGTTGGTTGTGGGACTGTAGAGAACCATTCTGATCAAAGTGCCTACACCTGAAATTACTTGGCTCCAAACTGGTTCCTCCGAACTTCACCAAATCTCACTGCCTTCTTTGCTTCTTTGTGCCTCTAGCTTCATTTGCATTGTTTTTCCCTCTCTGAAGTTGGCAACATGCTCTCCCTCCTATGATCAGTTCTGAATATTAGACTGATGTTCTGAACTTTCTTTCCCAGGATCATCAACAGAGATATTTCAGCTGGTTTTAACATTTGTGGCAGTTTCTAAGAAACCTCCTCCTGACAGAACATTCTTATCTGTGGGACCACTGGGGATGCATCATTGGCTGGTGCAAACTGGGATGGGTTTGGGTTTTTCTTTCTTGTTGGTACTGCTGCTGCTGAAGCAACATAACAACAGAACTAAGAAGAAAGGAAGTGAAACCCAAGACTTCAACTTTCTATGTCATTAGCCTTTATGAATCACACTGTAGCATCTGTGTTTTCCCCTGTTATCATTGCTGATCTCTATCTTCTGCCTGACTAGGGGAGAATGCTTCCCGGAAAATGAAGGGGAACATTAAGCTTGATCGTGAGCTTGCTCAGAGGTATATGCTGCAGTCCTGACTCACCATGGCCCAGAGCCAGGAGCTGGGTCACAGGAAGCACTAACTGGCCTTTCTCCCTTGAAAACTCATGATGCCTTTGCAGGGGGGAAAGGAGCCACCTTTGTGGTCTGAGGAAAGCAAGACATTGCAGTTCATTAGGGAACAGACTGGTGTCTTAGAGTCTCAGAATGCAAAAGGAAGAGGGGGCTTTAGAACCTGCTTCATGTCAGGGACAAAGTTGAGAAAAGAAAAGGGATCTTCCCAAGGTCATACCCAAGGTCATTCCCAAGGTAAGCAGGTCAGAATATGTATATTTCGATTTTTCTTTTGTGACAGAGTTGGGGATGAGCATAAGTAAAGAATCAAGGAAGTTCTGGAAGTGTTGATACAGGAGAGCCAGCTCAGAGCATAGGAAGAGATGGTGGTGAGGAAATATGTGGTTAGGATATCTCCAGCCTTGTCCCAGAAAGAAAGTATTCCCTGATTTATGCCAGGCAAGCAAAGTTTGGTGAAACTTAACCATCTCCACTCTCCTGGAGAGCTTCTGATCTGCAGCTTGATCTTGCAAATGGGCCTATCCCCCAGGAAGAACATTGATCAGTAGAAACTAACAAACTACTTCTAGTGTAACTCAACCAACAAGTAAATTTAATGATAGGGTCAGTTTTCTCAGGAGGTGTTCAGCCCTGCTGAGGACAAGAGCAAGGGTCTAGACTTGCAGGGCTAAGCATAGATAGAGCAGGGCATGAAAAGTTTCTGTGGTCTTGCAGTTGTAATCTTATAAGGGTAGCTGGCCCTATCCTTGTTCCCAAAGCAATGAGGGAGAGGGTTATGAAGTTCCCCGAAAGCAGCAGCCTTTGGTCTCAGCTCCTAGGACACCCTTCTCTTAATTCCTGGCCTTTGCACGTATCGTCACCCTAACATTACCATGGTATGAATCTGGACTCCCATGGAAGGTTCTTCCGTTGGTGGAATCTGTGTTCCCATTCTGTTATCTTACTTAGCTATCAAAACCTGCGTTGGATCCGAGTTCCTACTGCTTTACTTTAGTTACCCCAATTCTAACTTGGGATCTTTTTGGTCTTACTCATGACACTCACCGTGCAGCCAAACACCACCAAATTTAATCCATCTTCCTCTCTGCATTCGATATGCTGAATGGTAACCACATACCCATCTAATCACAAACACTACGCACTCTCTTCTGGTGGGGCAACCCATTTAAAATAGACATTTTTCTATACCTGGGGATCAGCATCTTTCTCCGGCATGGGACCAAAGTGATTGAGTATCCGATTCTTTAGGGATGATTTGAGCGAATGAAACCACGATGACGCTTGCTCATAGACACAGTTATGTAATCCCATGAGCTCAGCACAAGCCTCTCCCTGAACCTGAAAGTATCAAAGTGGAAGTGAAATATTCTGTACCCTCTCCATCACTCCCTGAGTCACTTTTGACACCTGACTCACTTTGAGCATCCATCCTGCCTCCCGATGGGAAGGCTCACCCGTCCAGCTTTCTCCTGTGTTTGATGTGAAATGCCCCTTAGTCAAGTGCTGCACAGTATATAGATACTGCTGAGCATGGAGGAAGGAGAAAGGTTCAGCTGGGGATTAGGTGAAACAGCAAATCATGCAGAAAACCAGAGATTCAAACTGGCCCGAGTGGAGGTATGTGATTAAACCAGGTTATGATGGTCCATGCCTTTGCCCTTTTCATTTTTACATCTGTTTTCCCATTTCTTGCTGGAAAAGACACAGGAGTGTGTCAGTCTCAGCATGTAACTATCTTGGTCAAACACGTTTACTCAGTCATCAGATATTTGTTAATCTACTATGTAACAAATGTAAATATAAATGAACACAGGATTATTTACCTCTTCTTCCACCCATTAGCTCAGAAAACCAAGGATTAACTAGATAGGTCATCTCTTCTGCCTTATGGGATAATGGATTATTGGGAAGGGCTCATAGCCAGGTTATATATTTTTAAACACAAATCCATGTGTGGATCTGTAATTATCTCAAAAGAAAAAAGTTTAAAATACACATAAATCGATAGATAAAATATATATGTATAGACCCCACCGTAGATCTATTCCTTGGTATCTTTGGCAAAGACTTAATTCTCAGGCTGAATGGGCCCCAGGGTTGGTCTAGGATAGCATTTCTTAGGCATGAATGAGACTCGGCAGCTAAGCAGAGTCAGGACAATAGATGCTGTCACTGCCATTGTGCAACTGGACAGCAATCCAGCAGCATTCAATGTTGCTGCAGCAATTTGGTGTGAAATCCCAAGGCCTGAAAGGGTTCTGAGAAATCCTTTCCCAACTATCTTTGTGTATCAAGTTACGAGGATAGCCTGGCTTTGGGATTCTTGGCAGTGGCCACCCTCACCTTTTGGTCTTCAATGTATTCAATGTCGGCCGTGTTGTAGCCATCCCGCTGGCTCTGATGGAGCACCCTGAAGCGCCTCTTGCCTATGCTGTCAACCACTGAGCGGCCATCGGCAAAGAATTGAACATTTCTGATCTCTAGGATGCAGCCGTATTCTGCAAACCTGTTTATTGAGAATGGAGTCGAGAGAGAATAGATCCTTGATGAGTTCTGTTTCCCTGGCCTGGCCCCCAGCCATTTCTGTAACCCCATGCTGTGGCTCAAGGGACTTCTGCCTATTTTCCTGTCCCTGGATTTACAGCTTCAATTACACAACAGGCAGTGCCTGTGTGAAAAAAAAAAAAAATCGTAATGTATTTTATAACTGCTACCATTTATTGAGCACATACTATGTGCCAGTGCTATAATTTAATGTTTGTCTCCTCTACAACCCACTTTGAAATTTAATGGCATTGTAGCATTATTAAGAGGTAGGACATTTAAGAGGTGATTAGGCCTCCACCCTCATGAATGAATTCATGCTGATATGGTGGGAGTAGGGTTGTTATCAATATAAAAGGGCAAGTTTGATCCCCACCCCCGTTGCCCCTCTGCTATGCCCTTCCACTATGTTATGATCAAGGAAGAAAGCCCTTGCCAGATGCCAGCACCTTGATCGTGAACTTCCCAGCCTCCAGAACCATGAGAAATAAATTTCACTTGTTCATAAATTATTTGTCTGTGGCATTCTGTTACAGTAGCACAAAACAGACTAAGGAAGCCAGGAACTGTGCTCAGTATTTTATGTACATTATTAACTCACCAATCTTCCCAGCAAACCCAATGAGGTAGGTACTATTATTATACCCACTTTACAGATAAGGAAACTGTGATACAGAAAGGTTAAATAACTTGCTCAAACTCAAACTTGTTCCAAGGCTGCAACTACAATATGAATGCAGGCAGTTTGACTCCATGGCCCACACTCTTACAAAACAAGTTTTATAATATATATCACTTGTTTAACCAAATATTAATTGTTTTTTTTCCCTAGCCCTTACCCAACTAACCACCAAAGGGACCCTGATCCTTACAAATGCTCCTATTCTTCAGTTGGCTAAACCTCATGAGCTACGCCTCCCCATCTCCTGGGAATACCCCAAAGTGAAACAGAAATCCCTCATTATCCCACCTCCCTTTGCTCACATGGCTCCTCACTCACCCTCTGACAGGATCTCCAAGGCACATGCCAAACTGTCTCGTGCCTGTCTCAATGCATCTACGAATCATCAGGCGGTAACAAGGTTCAAAGACGTGCAGGGGACAAGGAACGGTGGGATAGGCCATAGTACACACGAAAATAGGCACATTCTTATTAAGGCTGTCAGAAAGAGCAAATGACAGGAATCTCAAAGCAATCGGACAGAACACAAAAATGTTGGTCAAATGTTAGCATGCGATGCCCCTGGGGGAAGGCAAAGAGACACCAAGTTTGTTTTTTTGACAGTGTCACTTGCCAAACAGACATCAAGTTTTGACGGCTAATAGCAAAATATTGAAACGCAATTGACAGTGTGGGGTAAGTCCCATTAGCTGATGCAGAGGTTAGCCTAAGGCAGGTGTCCCCAAACTACGGCCCGCGGGCCGCATGCAGCCCCCTGAGGCCATTTATCCGGCCCCCCGCCGCACTTCAGGAAGGGGCACCTCTTTCATTGGTGATCAGTGAGAGGAGCACAGTATGTGGCGGCCCTCCAACGGTCTGAGGGACAGTGAACTGGCCCCCTGTGTAAAAAGTTTGAGGACGCCTGGCCTAAGGTCTAATAAATTAAAACTGGTGTTCTACATATTTTAATTTGGCTGGAGAAGTTCTGTAGGATCTTAATATTGTGGGTGATAGCTATACCTCATATGTTTTCTTTCTTTCATGCTCTCCACTCAAAACAATCTCTTTAGGAGTTTTGCAGGCTGCATAGGGAAGGTTGCTGATGAAGTAGACTCAGCAATCCAGAGGGATGGTGGGAAATTCTCTGTAAGGTCCCTAGGGCATCTCAAATTTGCCAGGCCCCCCAAAGAATGTGCAAAGGAGGCCCAGCTGAAAGGGGGAAGGACCAAGAGATAGGCAAGAGTAATCCAGCCCAGTGATGCTCAAATGCTTCTTGCATCAGAATTACCAGGGGGTCTTAAATCAAGAGAACGTGGACACCACATTACCAGAGATACTGATGTGTTAGTTCTGTAATTGGGAACCAGGAGTCTGCCTTTCTTTTCTTTTTGTTTTGTTTTGTTTTTTGCTTCTTTGCTTGTTTTTGAGATGGAGTTTCACATGTCACTCTATCGCCCAGGTTGGAGTGCAGTGGCACGATCTCGGCTCACTGAAACCTCCACCTCCCGGATTCAAGCGATTCTCTTGCCTCAGCCTCCTGAGTAGCTGGGATTACAAGCGTATGCCACCATACCTGGCTAATTTTTGTATTTTTAGTAGAGATGGGGTTTCACCATATTGGCCAGGCTGGTCCTCAACTCCTGACCTTAAGCAATCCACCTGCCTTGGCCTCTCAAAGTGCCAGGATTACAGGCACGAGCCACTGCACCCAGCCCTGCCTTTCAATAAGTACCTACAGAGATTTGCATATACAACCCGTTGGGGAACCAAAATAGAGCCAGCTCCTCTGGGATAGTTGTCTTCTTATTTGTCTAGTAAATCCAACACAGGAACATCTGAACCTAAACCTATCAAGAGATATGAGACCACCTGCCCAAATCTCAAAAGGATTAAGTTTAGGATTCATTTACATAGAAAGCCCTAATACATCTCAGTATTTGGTGTTTTTTTTTTAGATGGAGTTTCACTCTTTTTGCCGAGGCTAGAGTGCAACAGTGCAATCTGGGCTCACTGCAACCTCCGCGTCCCGCGTTCAAGCAATTCTTCTGCCTCAGCCTCCTGAGTAGCTAAGATTACAGGCATGTGCCACTACATCCGGCTAATTTTGTATTTTTGGAAGAGACGGGGTTTCTCCATGTTGGTCAGGCTGGTCTCAAACTCCAGACCTCGTGATTCGCCCTCCTCTGCCTCCAAAAGTGCTGAGATTATAGGCATGAGCCACGATGCCCAGCCCTCAGTATTTAGTAAGACCTTAAATGAGATTTGAGATGAGGCTTAGAGAGGCTCAATGCTAATTTACAGATCAGAAATAAAGATAAAGATGCCCTGAGTAGTTCCAATGTAAATTAATGAGAAAAACAGATTTCTAGTTTCTGAGAAAAACATTATTCAAAGTGAGGAGTGCATTCAAACAAGCCACTGGCAGAGTTTATGAATGTTCTCTACACAATGGGCATGAAATCAGAACCATTTTTGCTGTCACGAACCTGTCTGGAATGCTGTTAGGATTCTACTGGGGTTGGGGAGAGGGGAGGGCAGAAGCAAGAGAGACAGAAATTAGTGACTGCCTCCTGCTTTTTCTGCTAAGGGAGCTGTTCTTGCAGCCAGGCAGGGCACTGAGAACCTCACTGACGCCTCTGCCCCTTCCCTTCACCTCTCACATTACCTGCACATGGCAGAGAAAGCACTTAACAAGTATCAGTACTATTACCATTAATTAAGCGCTTACTATGCACAAGTTCATTTGATCTTCATAAGTCCATTAGGTGGCCAGGCACGATGGCTCACGCCTGTAATCCCAGCACTTTGGGAGGCCCAGGTGGGTATCGCTTGAGGTCCGGAGTTCAAGACCAGCCTGGCCAACATGGTGAAACCCTGTCTCTATTAAAAACTTAAAAAATTAGCTGGGCATTGTGGTACATGCCTGTAATCTCAGCTACTTGGATGGCTGAGGCAGGAGAATGGCTTGAACCTGGGAGGCAGAGGTTGCAGTGAGCCAAGATCACACCACTGTACTCCAGCCTGGGTGACAGAGTGAGACGCCATCTCAAAAAAAAAAAAAAAAGAAGAAGTCCATGAGGTAAGAACTAAAATTATTCTCAAGCTACAGATAAGGAAATTAAGGCCCAGAAAGGTTAAGTGACCTGCCTGAAGTAGACTGGTCATGAAGTAGACTCACTTTGAAGTAGAACTGGGTCTTAAGCCTGGTTCTGGTTGACACCAAAGTTCCTAACCTCATAGCGACTCCTTATATATCTGAAAACAATCTTTTAGACGTTTTGTTAAGTTCCCCTGATTAAGCTACTCCAATTTACTCTTGCCAACAATATCCGTTACTGGGGCCAGGGCATATCTTCTGGTTTCGCTTATGCTTCTTCAGGAGTATGCTGGCATGTTTAAGAACTGGCTCTCTGGGTGCAGGGGAAGCCTTGGTTTGTAGCACTTGCCAATTTCTATGGTGTACTCTCACCACGGCCAATTTCAAGCAACTAGCATGATATCACTAAGTGGGAAGCTTGGAAGAAATGTGCACATTCAGCTCTCATGAGCATCTATGAATGAAACAAAATAGAAATATGCATATACATACTTAGAAAGTTCTTCCATTTCCTCTTCATAAAGCTTCCTTCGTTCCTTCAGTTCTTCTGGAAGGAATTTAGCTATTAGCTCCTCCATTATTACATTTTTGCTGTATTTTCTTGATGCCAAGCACTACATGGGGGGAGGCAATTAGATAATATGCAGTCATCAGTAAAATACTTCTGATGCAATCAGTATACTAGTTAAATGACCCACATATTGCAGTAATCTGAACCCACAAATTAGCAGCTGATATCATCATAATAGTATGTATTTTCTGGATGTTGGAGTTTCATTTAAAAAAAACACATGCAATTGATTATCTTTATAATTAGAAAAAAGTATTTTAACAAGGAGGTAAAACCTGCATTGAAGTTTTTATCACTGAAATCAATTTTCAGTTGTAACACTGAAATCAAGATCATGTTCTTGTCCAAAAAGTGGGGGAAGGGGGATTCTTCCCTTTCCATTTTTTGATTATCATGTTTACAAGCTCACAGAAGTGGTCTCCATCTGGGATATGCTCAAAGTTAGTGGCCAAAAATTTCAGGGAACTTTCAATCACTGATCCTTTCCTGCACTGCCCCACTCTCAGCCTAACCCAATGCTTGGCTTCTGGATACTGTCAAGTCTATATTATATTTTCTCTTTTAATTTTAGTTTATAAAAACACAAACAGCTAAATATTGGTGATTTCATTTGTCTATTTGCCTTTCTAATATACCATGTAGGTATCACTGGGATCAAAAGTCATGACTTCAAGAACTGGACTCAGGCTCAATTGTCACTGTTACTCTCCTCCCAAACAACCCTGCCAAATGCATGCCCAGGGAGGCTTAAGTAGTGGATATTTAACGGTGTGAATCAAACAAGTTAAAACATCTGCAGAGAATTGCTCGCTATGGAAATTACCCCTACAGACCCAGCAGGGGGAGCGCCTGAGTATAAAACTGTTGGCTTCAGACAATGTTGTTCCTTTCTTATATGGGCTGTGTCTATTCTGCAGTGAACATGATTGGAATACTTAATTCTATGTAAAATGGTGCAAGTGTGACCCCTATGTGAATACACAGAGATAGATGAGAATACCTTCTAGCCCCCGAGTCTGAGACCCTGTAGCATCTGTCTCCAGGATGCCTAATCTGCCACTGCCATTCCCTGGCTATGGGAGAATCAACTGCATTTCCCAGTCCCACTTTTGGGGGATAAGCAGTGACTGAGGAGGTAGCCAGTCCAAAAAGCAGGTGACTCCTCTGCTGATTTTAAAACAAAAGGCCAGAAAAGGCACATACTAAAATGTTAAGTAACAGTGGTTTTCTCTAGGTACTGAGCATATGGGTAGATTTTTCTTCTTTCCGCTTAACCTGAATTTTCCAGTGCTACAACAACACAAATGTATTATTTAAGTATAAGGACCATGGACTTCTCACCTGCAATCAGGCCAGCAAATCCTACTCCTTTATCTAGGGAAAGGTATGACATTGACCCTACTCCCAATCCCAACACATACCCTCAGGTATGATCATTTCACTCCATTCCCTTCATTTAAATACTGGGGTGATGGTAAAGCTCAACACGTGACTTTTCTGGACCTGTAGTCACCTAGAGATGGCCTTGCATCTCCAATCTCCCCTCAGGAATGACAGGGGTAAAGGAACATTAACACCAATTGTAAAATGTGGCACACAAATCCCTGAGGGAGGGAAAACAAGATGGATTCTCAGGTCTTCTTTTTCTACAGGAAATCCTTCCAGTTCAATTGAAAAATAAAGATGGGAGTCTGTGTGATTAGTTTTAGAGAATCTGGAAGCCCTAGAGGGCTGCTATCTGCTAAACTGGCTTACTGCAACAGCTCTAGGGCTTCCAGATACAGTGACTCCTGAGGGGCTGGATAACAATAAAGTTCTTCGAGGTTCTTCTGGGGCCTTAGGAGCTGTTATCTTCAAGCCACAGAATAAACATTGATGATAAGGGAACATCAGGGCTGATCTAGTCCAATCCTGGAGGGGACAAAAGATTTACTCAAGATTATAGTGTATCAGGTGCCACAGTGAGATTAAAAAGAGGACCTATGTATATCGCCTATTTAATACTTTTGTTTCCAACCCAAATTAATTTCCATACTTACACTGCATAAAAAGCTACATGTTGCCTCATTTTCCTGAAGGACTTTATGGGGAAGGGGACAATGGCTATAAGACAGGAGACATAGGCCTGGCACGGTGGCTCAGGCCTGCAATCCCAGCACTTTGGGAGGCTGAGGCAGGTGGATCACCTGACGTCAGGACTTCGAAACCAGCCTGACCAATATGGTGAAACCCCATCTCTACTAAAAATGCAAAAATTAGCTGGGCATGGTGACATATGCCTATAATCCCAGCTACTCAGGAGGCTGAGACAGGAGAATTGCTTGAACCCAGGAGGCAGAGGTTGCAGTGAGCTGAGATCGCACCACTGCACTTCAGCCTGGGCGACAGGGCGAGACTCTCTGTCTAAAAAAAAAAAGGTATAGGAGAAATAGATGGTTCAAGGGAGTAACGTGCCCTACCACAGTGCAGTGGCTTGGGGTCCAATTGAACACTGTCTTAGTGCCCAATTTCAAACAAGCTAAACCAAACAAGAAAGAAATACTGATTTAAACCAAACAATAAATATTGATTTACCTGTGAAAGACCATCTTTGCACAGTGGACACTTTGCGTTGTGATCTAGGCATCTTTCCAGGCATTTTAAGCAAAAAGTATGCCCGCAAGGTGTTGTGACTGGCTCATAGAATAATCTGAAATTTAGGAATCAAAATGGAAGAAAACTGCAATAAGACCAAAAATAAAAGAGTGACTCAAAGCTAAGGTTTTAAAACATTATTTAGAATATTTTAGGGTGGGGGAGGAGTTCTTTTTCAAAAATCACTGTTGTACTTCACATAAACATTTGCCTTTCATTTTTGAGCTGGATTATAATAATACATTTATTAATGTTTAGGGCATAGGTAGATCATTTTTTAACATCGATTCTAGACGATCTCTTCTGGGAAATTCAGATTTTTTGCCCTGTCTGGTCTAAGAAGAATAGAGGTTAATGCACAGAGTATCTAGATGAATTCCATTCTGAAAATATTTAGCCAACCTGTTCATCTGAGTATATGTAAAGACACAGATACACACACGTACACACACACTCTCTCTCTCTCTTACACGTTTACCCATTTAAGCACTTTATATCCTATTACCATGAAAAAAAAACTTTGTTAGCTAGGCTTGCTTCCTCTTTTCATCTAAGCAATATTAATGCCTGAAGGATCTCCAAGTTGTTTAATTTTTATAGAGGCAGGAGAATAGTATTGTTGGTGTGCTTACTGATATAGACTAGATATGGATCTATATTGATGCATATACATCCATATATACATACATACACATGTGTACATACATATGTATACATACATACACTTCAATTCAGTACTATTTTAATTGCTTCGAGAGAGCAGGATGTTTTCAAAGCAATCTGGGAATCCTTTTATAAAGCTGTTCTGTGCCTTCAGAGATTCATGGGCTTACTTTGCTTTAAAAAACGGCTCACCTGCAGCGAGATCAGTGAGTGAGGGTAGCTGAAGATGACCGTTGACGAGTAGGGCTTGCACTCACCAAGAGGAGGAGCACAGGAAGAAGGGAAAGACCCCTGCCTGACCAGCCTATTTTGACCTCACAAGAGTGTTCAGTGGCGAGTCAGAGGCTGCCAGCTGCACGGCTCCCTCGTGTGGCCAGGAGGTGCACCAGCAGCCTGGCCAGCATTGCCAGGCTGAATGGAAGAATCAACATGTCAGTTGAAAAGTACTGGAGAAGAAATTGAACCCACTAACTAGAATGAACCTGAGATCCAGAGGGGTTGAAGTCACTTGTCTAAATGTGCACAGCCAACTGTTGACAGATGAAAGTCTATCCAACTTCCACTTCCAGTCATGTCCCTTTTCTGTTGCAACAATAATTCTCTTTTTAAATTTTTTTAGTAGAGACGGGGTTTCGCCGTGTTAGCCAGGATGGTCTCGATCTCCTCACCTCGTGATCCGCCTGCGTCGGTCTCCCAAAGTACTGGGATTACAGGCTTGAGCCACCGCACCCGCCCGACAACAGTAATTCTCAACTATTGCTGTGCATTAGAATCACTTGGGGAGCTTTACCTTTAAAAAGCCTTATTGGCTGGGCGCAGTGGTTCCTACCTGTAATCCCAGCACTTTGGGAGGCCGACGCGGGGGGAGATCACGACGTCAAGAGATCGAGACTATCCTGGCCAACACGGTGAAACCCCGTCTTTACTAAAAATACAAAAATTAGCTGGGCGTGGTGGGATGCGCCTGTAGTCCCAGCTACCCGGGAGGCTGAGGCAGGAGAATTGCTTGAACCCGGGAGGCGGAGGTTGCAGTGAGCCGAGATGGCACCACCGCACTCCAGCGTGGCCCCTGTCAACAGAGCAAAACTCTGTCTCAAAAAAAAAAAAAAAAAAAAAAAAGCTTTATTGATGCAAAATTGACATATAATGAATGGAACAGACAAAGTGTACAATTTGATAAGTTCTGACATATGTAAACACTTATGAAACCATCGCCACAATCAAGATGCCCATCACTCCTGAATGTTTCCTCTTGTCCCTTTTTATGGCCTCCTTCCTGCCTCCCCCAATCACCTGAGGAACTTATAAACTCTAGATACCCAGTAGGGCACCTACAGAGATTCAAATCGGTAGGCCCAGCATATAGGACAGTCATCAGGAATTTTTTTTTTTTTTTTTTTTTGAGATGGAGTCTCGCTCTGTAGCCCAGGCTGGAGTGCAGTGGTGCGATATTGGCTCACTGCAACCTCTGCCTCCAGGGTCCCAGTTGAAGCAATTCTCCTACCTTAGCCTCCCAAGTAGCTGGGATTACAGACACAAGCCACCATGCCCAGCTAATTTTTGTATTTTCTTTTTTTTTTTCAGTAGAGACGGGGTTTCACCATGTTGGTCAGTCTCATCTTGAACTGATTTCATGATCCTCCCGCCTCGGCCTCCCAAAGGCATCACAGGAATTTTTTAAAGCCTCATGGTGGTTTTAATGTACAGCCAAGGTTGAGGATCATTGTATTACACAGTCCCATTAATCTCTGCATAGGCAAACTTTCTGTATTGGTCTTCAAATATCAGTTACCTGTGGAGCATTAAAAAAAACATACATGGTGAAGCTCCACTGGTTAAAGTTCCAGATTCAGCAGGTCAAGGAGACAAGCAGAGATGGGATATTTTTAACAAGCCAGTGGAGGTCTGGAGTAGGAGAGAGATTTTTTTATATATTCACCTTTTTGGTATTTTTTGAATTTTATGATTCTGTTTAAAAAGTACTTTAACAAATTAATTAAGATTAATAAATTGTAGTTATCAAATTAGCCAAAAAGCAAAGTTTTTTTTTTTTTTAACTATTTATGATGGAGGTCCCAGTGCACTAAGACAAGAAAAAAATTTATGAGAACTGGAAAGGAAAAAACCAAATCTGTCATTATTCCCAAATGATATGATGATGAAGTTGCAAAATCTAAAAGAATCTACAAATTATTAGAATAAGAATTAACAGAATTAACAAGGTTACTAGCTAAATAGACACATGCACACACACAATTATAGTTCCATATACCAGCAATAAACATTAGAAATGCCACCATCTTAAAGATAACATTTACAACTGTTTTTAAAAATCAAATGCCTGGGAAGAAATCTTACAACAGCTGTAGGAGACCTCTATTGGAAAAAGCTACAAACACCTCATCGAAAAAAAATTAAACAACTAACCAAGTCCCAATAAAACAATCTCAAACTATTTCATTTGTTTGTTTTTGTGGAACTTGACAAGTTGATTTCTAAACTTTATAAGGAAAAGCAAAGTGTCAAGAGCCAAGGTACGTCTGAAGAGCAACGATGTGGGAGGACTCACTCTACCAGATAACAGAACATATAAAGCTGTGGTGATTAAAACAGTATATGACTAGCAAAAGGACAAATAGACACATGGAATAGAATAGAAAGCCCAGAAACAGATCCAGACGTGGATTCTTGATTTATGACAAATGTGGCACTTCAAAGCAGATGGGGAAAAGATTTTCAATACATAAATAGCATTCTCAGTAAATGGTATTAGGAGAGTTGGTTATCTATAGGGGGAAATGGAATTGGAGCATGTCTCATATCATCTGCAAAAATCAATTCCATGTGGGCTGTAAAAATAAATGTGAAAAGCAAAACAGCCGGGCGCAGTGGCTCAAGCCTGTAATCCCAGCACTTTGGGAGGCCGAGGCGGGTGGATCACGAGGTCGAGAGATCGAGACCATTCTGGTCAACATGGTGAAACCCCGTCTCTACTAAAAATACAAAAAAATTAGCTGGGCATGGTGGCGCGTGCCTGTAATCCCAGCTACTCAGGAGGCTGAGGCAGGAGAATTGCCTGAACCCAGGAGGCGGAGGTTGCGGTGAGCCAAGATCGCGCCATTGCACTCCAGCCTGGGTAACAAGAGCGAAACTCCGTCTCAAAAAACAAAAAAAAAAAAAAAAGAAAAGAAAAGAAAAGAAAAGAAAAACAATGAAACTTTCAGAAGATGAAGCAGCCAGGCACAGTTGCTTACATGTCTAATCCCAGCTACTTGACGAGGAGGGCTGAGGCAAGAGGATCACTTGAGACCAGGAGTTTGAGACCTCGAGTCTCAAAAAAATTAATTAGTTAAATAAAAGTAAATAAAGATAAAATATGAGAATATCTTTATGACCTGAAGGTAAAAAAATGAATTGCGACACAAACCCTACCTATAAATGAAAAGACTGATAATTTTGACTGTATTAAAATGAAGAGCTTTTGGCTGTGAGCAGTGGCTCATGCCTGTAATCCCAGCACTTTGAGGCTGAGGCGGGTGGATCATCTGAGGTCAGGAGTTTAAGATCAGCCTGGCCAACATGGCAAAATGCAGTAAAAATTAGCCAACCATGTTGGCACGTGCCTGTAATCCCAGATGCTGAGAAGGCTGAGACAGGACAATCGTTTGAATCCAGAAGGCAGAGGTTGCAGTAAGCTGAGATAGCACCACTGCACTCCAGCCTGGGTGACAGAACGAGACTCCCTCTCAAAAAAAGGAAGAAGAAGTGCTTTTAAGTTCATCAGAAAATGTCATTAAGAGGGCAAAAAGGCAAGCCAGAGTAGAAGAAAGTATCTGCAACACACATGACTATCAAAGAACTTGTATCTAGAGCATACATAGAGCCCCTAGAAGTCAGTAAGAAAAAGAGGGAAGCCAACAGAAAATGAACAAACATTCATATGCACCAGCAGGTGTAAACAATGTTTATAATAATGTTGCCCACGATATCCCTTAACTAAATACACCCAAACATCCATCCATAAGAGAACTGATAAACAGACTGTGGAAGATTCATACAGTGGGATACTATATAATAATGAAAATTAACAAACTTCACCAACATGCAATAACTTGGATATATCCTAATATTGAGTAAAATAAACCAGATTGAAAGAATAAACTCTGGATAATTCAGTTTATATAAAGCTTTTACACAGGTAAAACTAGGTTGCATTGCTTAGAGATACATATATGGGTAGTAAAGCTATAAAGAGAAACAAGATAAAAGTCAAGATAGTGGTTCACAATAGGGAGAATAGTCCTGATTGGGAAGAGGCATACGGGCAGCTTCTTGGATCCTGGCAGTATTTTATTTCTTGAACTGAGACGGGTTACATAAGTATCCTCTCTA